AGTGTATGGGGAGAGATTTCTGACTTCCTCTTTCTAATGTGAAAGTGCCTGTTCTGTTTGGATTATCTGTAGCAGTTCTTGGTTTTTAGGAGTCCTTACCAGAGATCCAGAAAGAACATCGTAATCTGCTTCAAGAACTAAAAGTTATTCAAGATAATGAACATGCCCTTCAGAAAGATGCACTTAGTGTTAAGTTGAAACTTGAACAAATAGATGGTCACATTGCTGAACATAATTCTAAAATAAAATATTGGCGAAAAGAGGTGAGACTGCTACTGTTTAATTAAATTTAACTTTATACCTGTATCTTTTATGAAAAAGGTCTGAGGTTTTTGTTTTTTGAGGTATGTTGTGATTTCTTAATTCCGTGATACAATATACTGTAATCACTTCAGTATAAGGAGTATAATGAGCAGTAAATAGTGATTATTATATACAGAAAAATCTGAGTAATGGTTAGAATTATCCAACTACCTTTCCACCCCAGAGCTGTCCTGGAGATGTAACAAAAGATTACGTGATCACTTCTTATGGAACAGCTGTTTCTGTTGAAAGCTTTTGAAAAGAGTTGATTTGTCACAATTCTTGTTGATTTTATAACTAATTTTTCATGCTTTTTTTAAAAAAAAGAATAAATTTTATTACTGTGCCTTCTTTCATAGATTTCAAAAATATCACTGCATCCTATAGAAGATAATCCTGTTGAAGAGGTTTCTGTTCTAAGCCCAGAGGATCTTGAAGCAGTTAAGAATCCAGATTCTGTAACAAATCAAATTGCACTTTTGGAAGCCCAGTGTCATGAAATGAAACCAAACCTTGGTGCCATTGCAGAGTATAAAAAGAAAGTAAGAATGAATTATATGAGTAATAAAAATTTTTAGTTCTTAGCCTAAATTATGACCTTTACTTTTATATAATGAGCAGTATTCATCTCATCTATATCTGAAGAGATTTTTCTCAATCTTTTTGCAGGAAGAATTATATTTGCAGCGGGTTGCAGAATTGGATAAAATCACTTCTGAAAGAGATAATTTTAGACAGGCATATGAAGATCTTCGAAAACAAAGGCTTAATGAATTCATGGCAGGTTTTTATATAATAACAAATAAGTTAAAAGAAAATTACCAGATGCTTACTTTGGGAGGGGATGCTGAACTGGAGCTTGTAGACAGCTTGGATCCTTTCTCCGAAGGAATCATGTTCAGGTCTGTATGGAGTTTTGAATAATAATCTTTACCTATTCTTCAAGCTCTTATTAATTATTTCTTGATGATGAGATGTGAAGGTGAGATCTACAACTTGTTTTATTGATGATAAACACTAACTTGTTTTTACTGGCAGTTGACTGTATAAATTATGTACAAATATTTAATCTTTATAACCTAGTTTATAAATTTTCAGATCTTTTCAATCTGTTGTCAAGATTGAAACATTTTATTGGATAAAGGGAAGGAATAGTAAGTACTTGCTGTTGAAATCTTAAAATTTTGGTAGCTAGTCCTATGTGTTCATCTTGTAGTACCATTTTCATAAAATAACCAGAAAAAAAGAGTTCATATTTCTGTAAACCAAATTAGATTCCCAAGGAGGAAAGTAGTAGAACTCAATTATGGAAAACAAATCATGGAGCTTTAGCCAGGCATGGTGGTATACATCTTCTAATCCCAGCACTCTTAAGAGGCTGAGGCACCAATATCACAAGCCCACCACCGGCTTGGTGAGACTGAGACCCTATCATGAAATTAAAAGATTTGTTTTCCTTTTAAATAAAATAACAGTGGCTAGGGCAGTATATGTCACTCGGTCCAAAAAAAATCCTGACCGACCCCCCCCACCCCCTGCTAGTACTGGGGATTAAATCCAGGGTCTCATGCAGGCTAAGCAGATGCTCTACCACTGAGCACAGCCCCTTTTTCAAATTGAGGCAGGCTTCTTGCTGTTACCCAGGCCTGCCTCAAGCTCAGTGATCCTCTATCAGCGTCCTCAGTAGTGAGGATTAGAGGCATATGCCACCACGCCTAACATAAAGTTTTTAACTTTAGCTTTACTAGTAATTTGACTAAAATTTTCATAATTATTGCAGTGTTCGACCACCTAAGAAAAGTTGGAAGAAGATCTTCAACCTTTCAGGAGGAGAGAAAACACTTAGTTCACTGGCCTTAGTATTTGCTCTTCACCACTACAAACCTACCCCTCTTTACTTCATGGATGAGATTGATGCAGCCCTTGATTTTAAAAATGTGTCCATTGTTGCATTTTATATATATGTAAGTTATCATTTAAGGGTTTCTTTATTCGGGAAATTCTATGGTTTCCCTAAACATATGTGGAATTGAGTTGGGTTTATTTTGTTTTTACTATTAAGCTTTTTTCCCTTTTCTCTAACTCCATGTCTTCTGCTATCAAGAAACCAAATCTTTATTTCTACCAAATATTTTCATTTTGGATTAATAAAATATAAATTGATAATGCAAATTAACAATACCAGCTAGAATCCCAGGACTCTGTCCTAGATCTTTCCCACTAGACTTGTAGGCAGTAATGCTTCAAAAAATACCCAGATTCCTCTTAAATATTGTTTTATTATCTGTACCATCATCCCTGTACATGTTAATTACCTAAGCAATGTTGAACTTAACCTGCCCTAAGTAATGCTGATCTTACTGCCCTGCCCAAGAGATAGTTGAGAGAACTAAAGATTACCTGTTTATATGGTTTACTTGTTATTTAGTCAGTTTGGGGGGTTTTTTGGTACCCGGGATCGAACTTGGGAACAAACTCAGGACCTTGCACTTGCTAGGCAGGCGGTGGAACCATTGAGCTAAATCCCCAACCCCAATTTACTTGTTATTTAATATTCCTTTTTTCTCTCTTTCTTTAGGAGCAAACAAAAAATGCCCAGTTCATAATAATTTCCCTTCGAAATAATATGTTTGAGATTTCGGACAGACTTATTGGAATTTACAAAACATACAATATAACAAAGAGTGTTGCAGTAAACCCAAAAGAAATTGCATCTAAAGGACTTTGTTGAACGTTGTTTATACTGAAGATTCAAGTTGAATTGGCATAGATTTGGTGTATTACTGGTTTTCTATTATAACAATTATGAGTTGTATAAAATACAGAATTCTAAACTATGACAAAACTGTTTGTTTTATGAATGTTACTGTATCTAAAACGGCTAGGGTAATTTAGCTCAGTGATGCTGTGCCTGCCTCGCAAGTGCAGGGTCCTGAGTTCAATCCCCAGTAAAAGGCGGGGCGGGGTGACAAACAAAAATATCTAAAACAATGTTCTGTGAGGCAGGAAGATTGCAGGTTCAAGCCAAGGCTGGCCAATTTCATAATTTAGCAAGACCCTGTCAATAAAAAAGGGACTGTGGATGTAGCACACTATGAAGACTCTGTGTTAAATACTCAAGAGGTTACCCCCAAAATAATTTTTGTTCTCTGTACTTGTTTGTAGTTGGTAAGAATAAAAGGGTATTTGAGACAGGGTGTCACTGTGTAATTCAAGCTGGGCTTGAATTCACCATGTAGCCCAGGCTGACCTTGAATTTGTGGTGATCCTCCTGCCTTGGCCTCTTTGAGTGCTGGAATCAAGGTATATGCCACCACACCCAGCAGAATGACAGTTTTTTAAGTGGCTGATTTAAGAAAAGTCAGATTCTTGTAGAGTCAGGTGACTTGCCCTTTGTTCCACAGTATTACTAGTAGGATTAAGTTTGTTAGTTGAGATAAAGTTCTAAAACTAGATCTTGTCAAGCTTCAACATATCTACAGTGGACATTTGACCTACACTGGAAAAACTTGCTAAACTTGTCTTGGATAAATTTTCAAAGCATTCTACTTTGTTTATTAATCTTGACAGTCATATTACCAAATAATGGGAACCTTTTTTTGTAAAGCAGTCATTCTTAATTTATAAAAATTAAACATAGGCACTTCAGAACTTGATGTGCTTTAACTATTTAAAGTTTGTTGGGCTGGGGATATAGCTCAGTGGTTCTGCTGCCTGCCTCGCAAGTGTAAGGTGCCAAGTTTGATCCCTGATACCAAAAAATAAATAAAATAAAGTTTGTTGCAAAATGGAATGTAAAAACGGTGTTTGAACATGACTAGGCTGTACTAATAAGTAATATATACCCCACTTCATAAGAATATAGTAGTAAGTGGAATTTAACATACTGTGAGTGTTGACTGTCAAGTTGTCAGGAGTTTTTATTGTATTGACTCAAGAATATTATGCTACTGAAAATAAGACAGCAATCGCTTGATTGAATCAAACATCATTGCTCTATTTAATTCCTGAATTATCCTCAGGAGTTAAATCACTTTATTATTTAGGAGACCATTATGTAGATATCAGAAATACAACATTTTGTATCATAATAAAGCCATTAAAATATGAATACATTGGGCTGGGGATTTGGCTCAGTGTTTCCGCCACCTGCCTCGAAAGCACAAGGGCCTGAGTTCGATCCCTGGTAACAAAAGAAAAATATGAACACATAAGTAGAATGAACTTAAAGCAAGATCTGAAGCTCAAGTAGTCATTTGTTTCAAATCAAGATTACATAAGGAAAAAAAGAAAATGCTGTATAGTAATTAGTGCTTTTTTATTGGGAAGAAGTAAAAATTTTTTAGTAACCAGTGCAACAGCTCAGTACTAATTTTTAAGGATAAAATATCCAAATCCATATGAAATTCCTAGGGTGTTCTTTGAGCACCCTATTAAGTTACAATCCCCTAGCCTACTGGGGATTTAACTCTGGTTCTGGTGCCTGCCTTGCAAGTGCAAGGTCCCGAGTTCGATATCCAGTACCAAAAAAAAATCAAAATATTATCTAGCCTAAACATATTAATAGGCATAACCACTGAGCTAAATCCCCGGCCCCAATAGGCATATACTTTTGATATTTAACTATAAGTTCTACAGATTAGAAGCCCTACTAACAATCTTGGCCTTGAATTCTTTGAGCATTAACTGAAAAGAATGCATCAGTTCTCCCACATGGTAGCTATATAGCCTTACAAGGTTAAATGCATGACACATAACATTTTATTGCTTACTAATATTTATTCAAAATAGGGGACTTTTGTGGTGTGACTAAATTTTCAAGTAATCACCATGCAATTTCCATCTAAAGTTAGTAGAGTTTGGTCTTAAGTCTCCCTCATCTCCATTTCACTGGTTCTTTGTACAATAATTGTGTTAGGTATAGTCTAAGGTATGGTCTGATTCCAATATAAAAATGACCTCATGTCATCATCTTAAGTGTCAAGGCTCATTCTTAGCAAACAAGATCTTTGGAGTATTTTAGAACTAGTTTATAAACACAGCTATATAATTTTGTATGTAATTCCAAGGCCAGGAGTATTCTCTAATGTGACCTGGAAAGTTATTGAAGGTAAGGCTCCTAGAAATGGAGATCCAAGAGCAGCCCATCTGGGATTTCTTGAGAGCAAATCAGTTTGTGCTTAAGATGTGACAGACAATGGGCCGAAAGTATATTGCAGGCATCACAATGCCAATCCCTACTAAGGGAACTAAATTAAAGAGCTCTGAATAAATAGGCTCTCTCAAAGCACAGTTCAAGAATATAAAGTTAAATCAGTACTTTTGTACTAGCATAGGAAACATCTGGCAAAAAACTTAAGACAATTTTAAGATGAATATAGTTTAAATGATGCCATCAAAATCTTGAGAATGAAATATGTCACCAATATTTCATCCTATTAAAGTGTTTTACAGCTTTAAAGAATTTGACAAAACTAAAACACTACAAAATGAAATGGATGTTGGGAAATGGAAAGAAAATGTTCAAATGGGCAGAGGAACAAGGGAGAAAGGAAGGAAGGGACAAGAAAAAAAGTGAGAATAGAAGGAAAAAATAGAAAAGCTTTTGTACATAGGGAGAGGAGGGGGCTTGAGGGGGGAATAGGATAAAACTTAATAAAAAAATACAAACCTTTTGAGGGGTGCTTGGCAACAAGGGCTCTACCACTGAATCTGATATACATACATCTGCAGCCTTCCTTCCCTTTCTCCTTCCCTCCCCATTTCTTTATATTTTTGTTGTTTCCCTGGCTGACCTTGAACTCCAGGATTCAAGTGCCTCAGCCTCCCAAGTAGTTAGCACTAAGCTTGCACCACCACACTCAGCTCCCAAATGTAATCTTAAATTTAGGTAAACTATCAAAACATAAGTCTTAAAAAATTGTCAAGATTATCCAATCTCAACAGCTGTACTTTGAATGTTTTGTTGTTTTTTGGAGTCTTGAAACGGTCTCGGTCTCAGTCTCGCTATGTAGTTCATTCAGGCTGGCCTCGAACTTACTATGTAGACCAAGCTGGCCTGGAACCTGTGGCAAGCCTCTTGCCTCAGCCTCAAGTGCTGGGATTACAGGTGTGTGCCACCACACCCTAGAATGAATATTAATGAGCATTTAGTGCTCTTAAATCCATCTAAACCATTAAATGTATGAATTAGTTATGTTTGATCTAAAAGATCTTTAAGCAGTCCTTTACCACTTAAAATTTGGTTGCTTGGTTTTTTAAGCCTGTTTTTCAACCTTATTCACCCATTCAAAATAAAGACGAGGCACAGGATTTTTTCATCTTTTAACTTAATATATGTGTGTGTATATGAAATACTCAAACACTGACGTATATAATAATGGTAAAAGAAAACAGCAGAGGCTGAGGATTTAGCTCAGTGTTATTGTGCCTGCCTCTCAAGCACAAGGTCCTGAGTTCAATTCCCAGTACCGAAAAGACTATATAGCAGTACAATGTTTAAATGTCAGAGCAGCATTAAGTCAACCTCCATCAAACCAATACAAATGGGACAACATATTAATACTCATATTACTAGATTTCATCATAGTTATGACAGTGTGAATCGTGTTTCATATTTTCATTTTTAACTGATGCACTATGTCCAACAGAAGCATGAAAGGTTTTAACATAATTTCTGAATTTGTTGGAACTCTACCGAAGTTTAATTTACTAGTTTTTATGCTACCTCCTGTTTCCCCAGTTAGCAGTAGTTAGACTCTACTGTATAGAATAGGCCCACTTAACAATCTAGATTCAAATTTTCAAGGAGAAACGATTTTCCACATGAATTCCATTACCAAATATAAAGTGTGACATAGTATGGTTTTTAAATCATGTAAATTGTTAGCCAAACTTTGGTAAACAGACGAGACTTTAGAAAAACATACTGAACATACTTCATTTAAGAAGGTTATTATGTGCTGGTAGAAAAAGAGCATCAACATTAGTAACACCGAAACGCTTAAAATTTGAAAAAATTCAGCTTCTTTTTTATCCTTATCAAGCCAGGAAGATGGCATCCTTATTGAAGAAATTTTCATTTCAGGCATGACAGCTTTCTCAATTTGTCCAATTTCTGTTCTGCTCCATTCTTTTAATACCTGGCTTACTCGAGGATAAATTTCAACAGGTTGAACCTCTGGAAGTGGTCTTTGTTTCAAGATCTGTACACGCTGGCAGATATTATCAATTTTTTCAAGAAATTTAAGTGGAGACTCTTCTTGTAAAGATGTTGTCAGTGTCATTAATTCAAGCTGCTGTTCTCTTATTTCTTTCATTCTCTCAATATGTGGGGTATATTCTTGATTAATCAGATTGCCAACATCACAGAGAGCTGATATAAAAAATTTTTTTTTCTGTTCTAATGTATCAATAAGCTCCTCAAAATACTGGAGAACAACTTCTTTATCACCCTGGATCATTTTCTGAGAATGAGACTTTTGTTCTTCTAGCTTTTCAATAAGATGAGTAATATCTGTCCAATGTGTGTCAGTTAACTGTTTCAGCAGTTTCTGTGGTGTGTCCTTTTCTTTCAGATAGGCACTTTGAAGATCATCTATAGGATGACCATGATGTTGACCTACAGTAAGACAATGACCACAAACTAGCTTTTTATCTAATAGACAATAAACATTTAGTGGTTGCCTATAATGTTCAGGGCAGAAAACAACATCTGGATGGTCTTCTTGCTGGTACTTTTCAATAATAGCCCTTAATGCAAAATTAACAGGTAAAGATTCAATACCAGTTGGAGCTATTTCAATAATACTTCTGCAATTAGGGCATTTGAGTGGAATTCTTAAAGGTCTCCATATATAAAAATTACCAGATGCCTGAAGAACGTTTTCCAAACAACTTCTACAAAATGTATGAGAGCATGGTAGTACACGAGGATCTTCAAAAATACTGTAACAAATGGGACATGTTAACTCGTCCTCAAAATTGTGCATTTCCTGTCAAGACAAAAAAAAGTCTACATATAACAAAGTTTTAGTTATTAACCTCCAAATTATTATTATACTGATTGTCATTTAAAAGGACAACTTTTTTTTTTCCAGGGATCAAACTCAGGACGTTGCGCTTGCAAGGCAGGCGCGGTGCCAATGAACTAAATCTCCAGCCCAAAAGGACAACAATTTACTAAGATTTTTAAAATGAAGCTTTCTACTAGTAATTCAATTCCTAATATATAATATGAAATAGGTAGTTTTCAACAGCTTGTTCATTTGGCACAATTCATCTAAAGTAAAATTCCAATTTATAACAAAATGCTTCAAAGTTATTTGTTGCTATGTAGGGAAGATTAAAATTCAAATATTCTATTGAAGTCTACTTATTTTAATTACTATATGCAACTTTTTACATTCTAAGACGTTAAAATCACAAAGGCAAAACTAAACATTTCTACTACAAATTAGGCTTAATAAAATTCTTTAATGCAAAAGGAAACATGCTCACAGTTGGCTCAATCATGGTTAAAAGAAGTATATATTTCTGTAGAAACTAACTACACATTTATTAGCTGCCATTTCAAATAGGTAAGCTTAAAAACCAGGATCGGCATAGGGTAATTTTTTTTTGGCAGGTGTGCTGAGGACAGAACCCAAGGCCTCACACATGCTAAGCAACCACTTTACCACTGAACTACATTCCTAGGCCCATGGTGTAATTTTTTAAAGCAGTTAATTTAGCATGAGAATTTGGAAGGGAAAACTTTTTCAAAATAGTCCTTGCAATAAAAGTCTGTTTGAAAGATGAAGAACTGATTATGGTGCTTTTGAAGCAGTACCTTCATTTTTAAATAAAAATCTAGAGCTGAGATGGTAAAGAATAAAGAGGACACATTTTCATTAAAATATCTTAAGACAGATGTGTACTGAGACAGAAAGAACCCCAGCAATAGTTCAGAGTCTCACCCTCATAAAGTAACAGCTCTGCAATCTACTAATAGTATTTGCAAAAGAAGTCTGACAGTTTTGTACCCTATCGCCTCTTAAAAGTTTTCCTTTGTACACATATTCTCAATGAAAGCCACAATCCTCAGTACTGACTGACCCCTTGACAGAGAAAAACCAAGCTAAAGCACTGCTACTAGAACCTTAAACCAAAAATATAAATTTAAAAAAATAAAATTCAAATGCCATTCATGTAAAATACTAAGTTACCAAATCTTCTATAAAACTATCTTTTAAAATTAAAAGTTTGTGAAGAAAGTGGCATCTAAAATAACTAAATGCACTTTTGAGTTTTTGGGGGGGTTTTTTGGTACCAGGGATCGAACTCAGGACCTTGCACTTGCAAGGCAAGTGCCGGAACCACTGAGCTAAATCCCCGGCCCAACTAAATGCACTTTTAATAAACATAAAATCTCCTTAGATGTTAGCTAGAGCTCTTTTAACCATCTGCCAAACTATTATATCCTTCAAGTCTCAAACCTGGCTGCTTTCCCAGTTAGGTCTCTGTTATTCTTTGAACACTTCACTTTTACTTCATAGCACTTCACAGTACTGTACTTTATAGAAATTTTGTAACATTTTTTATATATATTAGAATATAAGCCTCCTTTAAGGGCATGCATTCAAGTGAGTGCATGTTAGCCTTTAACTTTACCCCACACCTACAGAGGACTCTGAAGTCACACAAAAACCACCCCCCAAGAAACGGAACATGTTTCAGTGAGGTCATAATCAACAATAAAGGAATAAACAAAATAGCATTTTGCAAGAAATAAAATTTAAGCAACGGACATTAAATCTAGATTATTAGAACTTCTTAATGTGTAAGTAGCAAAACTACCTCCTCTAAGAAACTAACTTTGCCCTACTCTATACGTATTAAACAGTTAGGGAACAAACTTCTCTGAGAATCCTTTTAGGAGACCCAAAACTCAACTTTCTTTAGAACTCAAATATATTGAATTTTCTAACCGGTTACTGCCTGAAGAAGTTATAAGAATATAGGTGACTATCACATTTAGGGTTTTTTCAGAAACCAGTATGAAACTTTATTCACCAAAAATTTTCTAAAACCTGCCTAGGCTCTTGAGAGGAAGGGAAAAAAAGCAAAAAACTTCAGCTAAATATATTTTCTAGGATGAACATCTTAAATTTAGCTAAGCTGTACATAAATTTCCAAATGATAAAAAACATCAGTAACAACACTGGAAACTAGACAATAAAACAATGCCTTTAATATTGTGAGGGGAGGGGTGTCTTTAAATGGGACATCGAATTGTATACACAGAAAAAAAATCCATTTTGATGTATCATTTGACATAAAAGCTCTCAGAAATGAACCCCTGCTGACTTTTCCTGAAGAAGCTAGTACAAGAAAGGAGAAAAAATCAAGACATAAAAGCTCTCAGAAATGAACACCTGCTGACTTTTCCTGAAGAAGCTACTACAAGAAAGGGGAAAAAAGCAAGGAATTCTCACCAGGATAAAAGGAAAATAAAAGTTCAGGACAACTGTATAGACCTAGAAAACAGGCAGTTTTTTGCTTTGTTTTGTTTTGGGTTTTTGTATAAAGGATTGAACTCAGGGCCTTGGCACTGAGTTATATCCCAAGCCTTTTATTTTATTTTATTTTATTTTATTTTATTTTATTTTATTTTATTTTATTTTATTTTATTTTTAAGGCAGGGTTTCACTAAATCACTGAATTGCCTAGGCTGGGATCGATTTTGCTAACCTGCTGCCTCAGCCTCCCAATGTTAGTATTATAGGCATGTGCTACCAGCATGGCCAGAAGAGATGTCTTTAAGTAAATAAATGGAAGAGTCAGAATACTTCATGAGCCTGAACATATTGAGAAAGAAAACTAGGAAAAAAGCAATAGTCATGAAAAGACAACAAATACTATATTATATGGCTTATTTGTCAGGTTTACATAGTCATAAGTATCAAATATTATACTGATTCTTACCAGAGTAACAAAATTATATGGGGGGGAGGGATAAAGAAGAAAACAGTTTATGAAATCATAATCTTCCCTTGTAAGAAAGTCAAGTGGGCCAGGGATGTAGCTCAGTGGTTCCAGCACCTGCCTCGCAAGCGGAAGGACTCGAGTTTGATCCCCGGTACCAAAAAAAAAGTCAACACAATAGGACACACATGTAAATACCGAATAGTTTCTCTGGTGTGAAAAACTAAAAGTGTAAATAAGGATCAAAATGTATAATTGTTAAAGTGAAATAGGAAGAAAAGGTCTAAAGGAGTAGGGGAAGTGGGAGAGGCAGGGGAGGGGAAAGGAAAAAGAAAAAATATGAGAAAAAGAAAAAATGGAAACAAAGTCTTTGTAAATAGGGAGGGGTGGAGGGGTTGAAGGGAGGGCTGGGGAATAGGGAAAAAATACGAACCAAGGGCCAGGGATTTAGCTCAGTGGTTTCGCCACCTGCTGTGAAAGTGCAAGGACCTGAGTTTGATCCCCGGTACCAAAAAAGAAAAAAATACAAACTAAGATACATCATGTAAAGGTACAAATTCCCGGTGATGAATGTAACTGTGTTGTATACCTAAAATGTACCAAGAAACTTAATTTTTAAAAAAGTCAACAGTTTCACATGAAAAAGAAACCATAGTAAGAACATACTGAAATATGGAAGTAAATACCAAAAGAATAAAGAGATGCAAGTGATTGCTTTTGAAGAGCAGGAATCAGGAGTAAGAAAAGTGAGAGCAGGGGTCTTTGGTTTTACATTAATATAACTAGTGGTTTCACTTTTAATCATTAACATGCAATTAAAAATATAATAAAGTGTTAGCTCTGCATGGCGGCTCATGCCTGTAATCACAGTTACTCCAGAAACTGATGTTTACAAGTTTGAAGCCAGCCTGTGAAACTCAGACTCCCATCTCAAAAAAAAGAACAAAATAATAATATACAATGTAAAGAGATGAAAGACAGGGCCGGGGATGTAGCTCAGCAGTGAAGCGCCTGCCTGGCAAGCACAAGGCCCTGAGTTTGATTCCCAGTTCCAAAAAAAAGAGATGAAAAACAATACTACAAGCATCCAGGCAGAAAAGCAGGATGAATAAAGGAAAATAAAAACATAATGGTCTGAGGATTCTCCTCTAGAAGGTTGTAATTTCCAAAGAAAACTGGAATGGCCACAATTTAGCTTTCACACATGCTTTCTATAGAATGAGTTTGCTGCCAGGGATTTAGCTCAGTGGTTCTGCTGCCTGCTTCACAAGTGCAAGGACCTGAGTTCGATCCCTGGTACCAAAAAATAAAGGCATGTAGAATGAATTTGCTATCACTTCATCAAGACATGAAATCTATTCTCCCTGTAGAAATCTGTGCAGACCAAATTACTGCTCTGACCAGCAGAGTACAGTATAATATAGCCCTTAAGAAGCCTGGCAACCAAATGCTATGTTAAGAAGTCTAGGCTATGCAGCTGAAGAGAGACCAGGTAGAGGATAAATAAGATGCTGGACATCTTAGTGAAAAAGCCTTCTTAGAAACTCAGCTAACAGGATACCTGTACAAAACCAGGCAACCAGAACATATCTAAAACAAGGAGGAAGCCAGGCATAGTGGCGCATGCCTATAATCCCTGAACTTGGGAGGCAGGGGGATCGCTGACCACCCTGGGCTACAAAGTGATTTCAAGGCCAGCTTGGTCTACTAGTGAGACCCTGTCTAAACAACCGGAAAAAAAAAAAAAAAAAAGGAATGCTACATGATAATGTAGCAACATCCATAAGGTCTGGAAGGAAAAGGATATGACCTGACCATCTGCCCTGCAGGCGGCAAGGACCCAAGTTCGATCCCCAGTACCAAAAAACAAAGATATGACCTGAGATTTCTGTACCCAACCAAGATATATTTTATACATGTGAAACAAAACATTAGCTAGACCTTTAGGGTTAAAAAAAAAAACACAAAACACTCAAATTCTACAGGGCAGAGCTGAAGCTATGGCTCCATTATTAAACAAAAAGAATATAAAATGATTCAATTTAAAAAAGAGCCAGGCATGATAGGACACACCCTTGATCCTAGCCACATACTCCAGAGGCTGAGACAGGAGAAACAATTGAGCCCATTAAGTTTAAGATCAGTCTGAGCAATACAGCCAGATCCCTTTTCAGAAAAAAAAAAAAGGGGGGGGGGCAGGCATGGTGGCACACATCTGTAATCTCAGCATTCTGGAGGCTGAGGTAGAAAGATCTCTGTAAGGGCCGGGATTTAGCTCAGTGGTTTTGCCGCCTGCTGCGCAAGTGCAAGGACCTGAGTTCAATCTCCAGTACCAAAAAAAAAGAAAGATCTCTGTAAGTCTTGAGGCCAGCCTGGGCTACATAAGACATTAGCTATCTGTGATAGGCAGCTTCTAAAATGGCACCAACTGATCTCCACCTACTGACTACTAAGTTTTGAGATAATTTGTTATGCAGCAATGGATTAATACACTACCCTAAAAAAAAGAGACAAACATGTACAGTTAGCATTGAGAAAGGAAATAAAACAAACAAGAAAAAAGCCAAAATTATAGATTAGAATTTACAAAGCTGTACACTGGTATATGGGACAATATATAACAAATGAACTATTCCCTAAGTCAGTTCAAATTGTAAAAAGTGACCCTAGAATATAAAATTTGGGGGGGGAAATTTTTACTGCTTTGAAAAGTGCTAATCTGAAAAAAACTAGGGGAGAAAGAAGGCAAGCTTTTCTGATAAGTTCTTTCAAATGTTCAAGAAATAATTTCTTTTTCACCTGTACCAGAATACAAATACAGAAGTTTGCAAACTGTTTTGAAGACAGTATAACAAGATCCAAAACCTAACAGAGCCAATACAAGCTAAAACTAGAATAATTTCAAAAGTGGATACTGATGTAAAATCCTAAATATAAAATCAGCAAAAATAAATCAAGAAGTATATTAGAAGAAACATGTACCATGACTGGCTAGGTATGTAGCTCAGTGGTAGAGTGCATGCTTAATGAGTAAGGCACTGGGTTCAACTCCCAGTACCAAAAAGAAAAGTGCTATAACTAAATAGTTCTTTCCAAAAATACAGTTAAATCAATAACAAAAAAATCTATTAATTTATTCTTTTAAGTCAATGTAGGAAAAAAATGTATAATCATATTAAAAGCAAAAAGCACAGGTAGTATAAACATGAGTAAGTAATCCACAGAGAAAGAAAGAAGAACAGTGGTTCCAGGGCTTGTGGGAGAAGATGATATAGTTATTGTTTAATAAGTAGTTTCACTCTGAGAAGATGAAAAAGTTCTGAAGATAGTCATGTTGATACATAATGCCACTAAACTGTATAGTTTTTTAAAATGCTTTAAATGGTAAGTTTGTGTTATATATATTTTAATACAATAAAAAACTTACAAAGTGTTTCAATTGTCTTGCCTATTATCTAACCTTTCCTCTGCCAAAGTAATTTTAGAATAGATGTATTATCTTATGCTTTTAAACACCAAAATGTAAATTCAATGTAAAATGTATTTTCCCTCACTGAGTACTAAAAGCCTCCCAAAATTGGATTTAGTTCAAGATTTCCAGCTTCCTTTTTAAGTCACCAATAAACATGAACTTGTTTTTAAATTTCAGAAAGAAATAAGGCTAAATTATCTACTTACAAATTATATCACAAATCTTGTGTTTAGTGTGAAAAAATAAAACACATCAAAGGAGGCTAACAGCTTCACAATGTCTAATTAGCATATTAGATAATAGATATTACATTTACAGGTGATACAGAATTAAGCAATACCAAAAATACCATTACCCCTTCTCCTGTGTAAACTATTTTTTAAGTTTTAATTCACTAATACTTTATTATTTTCACCTCTAAACATGATTGGCTATAAAACATTCATTACATGTTACAGCCTCTGAAAAGAAATCCTATTTACCCCACTACAGATTTAAATAATTTGTGAGGAAAAACTGAGGTGATACTATCCCCCCCCTACATAAGGGTCCACATCCTTGTGGGCCTAACTGATAAAAAATACACTTCAGGGCCAGGGATTTAGCTCAGTGGTTCCACCACCTGCTGCACAGCAAGCACAAGGACCCAAGTTCGATCCCTGGTACCAAAAAAAAAAAAAAAAATACACTTCATGTAATTCAAACCTTAAGAAATGCTACAACTGCACCATCTATATGCATACATTAGCCGGGGATTTAGCTCAGTGGTTCCGGCGCCTGCCTCACAAGCGCAAGGTCCCGAGTTCGATCCCCGGTACCCAAAAAAAAAAAGTAAACAAAATATATGCACACAGTAGACAAGATTTTTTAAATGTCTGTCACATACAAAAATAATGGAAGCATTAATAACTCGTACAAATTTTAAAAATTCCAGTCAGATCTGATTTTTAACTCTTTACCCATCTATTGTTTTCTTTTACTCTGATATCAACCTGTTTCTCCAAACTAAAAAAAGAAACTATTAACAAAACTGATATGAAAAGTTAGGGTTTGCATTCCTTTTTTATACTTTTCAAAGTGAAAATACATTTAGTAGAAAACATTCAGCAATAGTTGCTTTAAAGGCAATATCAATATTATTAACATTACTTAAAATCAAACTTTCACAGGGCCAAGGATTTAGCTTAGTGGTGCTGTGCCTGCCTTGCAAGTTCAAGGTCATGAGTTCAATTCCCAGTACCAGGGGGAAAAAAAATTTCATTTTGCCAGACTAAACTCTGATAGCTTCTCTTATAGAATAGCAACTGGCTCAATAAAAAAAATAAATAAATAAAAATTAATGAGATTAATATGTAAATGAATAATGGAAAAGTATCAAGTAACTTAAGTGGTATATGTAATCTGCATATTTGTACTGTATATATAAAATAACACCATGTGTGTATGTGTTTTTTATTGTTGTTTTTTGGTTTCTTGGTACTGGGGATCGAACTCGGGACCTTGCACTTTCGAAGCAGGTGGCAGAACCACTGAGCTAAATCACCAACCATACCATGTGTGTATGCATGTTGAGATGTACAAATCCCTGTACAATTGCTGGAAAGATATATAGGAGTTAATAATGACTACTTTTGAGGTATATGTCAGTTTGAGGGAGTTGCTTACTTTCTGTTTTATGCTCTTTCCATAAAATGGTTAGAATTTTATATACCACCAATATAGTATATCTTTTTCTCAAAGAGATTTTTAAATTTCACCTTATAGTTTAAATCACACGCACTGTAAAAATCTACAAAAAATTTTTTCCGTTTTCAGTTAATCTTTTAGAACTTACCTATTTTGTTGGTCTCCTGATAAGGATACTGAATATACTTTATCTTCAACTTTTCCAGGTTCTCTCATTCTAAAATTAAAATAATTTTATCCTTAATGTTTCAGATTTGCTCAAACAATACGCCACAGGACTGGTTGTTAGTTCACTGATTTTGATGTTTACCTTCCCTACACCTCACTGTGTTTTAAGAAAAGTAGTGGCAAATACTAATAGTTATTGGAGTTACAAATAGAGATATCAATTACATCCTGAAAAGCCCAACAATTTCGTAACACAAAAGATCTCTTTTTACACCATTAAGTATCTTAAGAGTTTGCAATAATATTAACCAATATGGTGATGACGAACTAAACGTTCGTGGTCGGTTTTGTTAGACCCAGCGAGAGAGAACCAACCAGAGACCGATATTAAATCCACACAGGAGTTTATTACCGGCCGGGACCCGGGCCGAGCATCGGACTCAAGCCTCGACTTGGGGTTGACAAACATGTTTTATACACCTTTGAGGCCAACAGTTTCTAGGCCCCACTATGGGATAGAGCTAGCAAAGCAAGCGAAAGGTACAGAAGCGGAACGTCTTGCTGTTAGAACACTGGTAAAACAATAGTTGATTAATCGTTATTTCTAAAGAGACCTTTTAAGGGGAGGAGGTTTCTAAGCTTCCTCCTTCTGAGTTCATCTAAAGGACAGACAGGTGGATCAAGCAGCAATACGGAGTTTGTCTTGCTAACTAGGGTCCTTTTAGGTTGCTTAAATTTAACAGGAGGGCAAGAAGCATCCCTGGGAGTTAAAGATGACCAGCTGAAAACCCTTTCGATTCGGCTCATTCTCATCAGCACGTCTGTCCATCTCTCAATTCTGCTACTGAAATGCTGTGGACTCTGGGCCGGTTTTATTTAACACCTCTCGTAACTGAAGTTTCCCATCTGTAACCTACCTCTGCGGAGGCCTGTAAGACGTTCTTCCTTTTCCCTCCCGGAGGTTTGTTCCCTAGCTCTCCCCGTGCCCTCCCTACCCTTACAGGAGGGATCCAGTTTGGAGAAGGGGACGGGACGCGAGCAAACACCCTTCCCGAGTCCACAGGCTCCGCCATCGAGCCCCCAAGACTCCCGAAAGAACCCAGAATAGCTGCCTGTGTTACGGCGAAAGAGAAGGGATACTAAAAGAAAGTTTCAGAGCCGCCTTCTCACATACTAAAAGAAAATTTTCAGACTCACCGCGAAGAGGGCTACAAGGCAAAGCCACTGCGCCGAAACGGAACAGGGTGCAGCAGGCAAAGTAGCATCTCCGGACTCCTCACCAGCGAAGGACTTCAGGTGCCAGAAAGGGCGGGGCCTCGCGGAGCGCGCTGCGCAGGCGCGGTCTCTAGGCAACTGTGAACAGCGCAGTCCGCCGAGGAGAAAAAGCGCGCGGCGGCCGTTTGAAAGTAAACGTCCAGCGGCTCTGAAGGCGCGAGCGAGTGGGCTCCGCTCTTGGTGGCCGCACAGCTTTTCTGCGCCTGCGCTCTAGCCGGCAGTTAGTGGCGCTTCAGCTGCGGGCCCTTCGCTGAGTGGGATCCATCTTGAAGAAGCCGGATGGCTCCCAGGATCCTGGGAGAGGCGGGCCGGGCCGGCCGGAGCCGGCGCCCGCCAGCCAACGTTGCTTGAGGCAATTTTGTGTTATAGTTCTTTGCCGGGAGCCGCGCCGACACTCCCTGTGTGGACTTTAAAGCGCCGTGTTAGTTCACATGACTTATGCTCCTTGAAGTCGCCCCGCGGCCGAGGCTCCTCGTGTTTTCGGGACCCGGACCCGCCGAGCAGGAAGCGGCCCTAGTGCGCAGAGAGAGCGAAATGTGAGGCTGTGGGAACCTTAGGACTCCGAAGGCCTCTCCACCCTTTGTCACTTGATGAACTTACTTTCTACAGATGACGGTTGTTGAGCAGAATTCCTGACCATTCAACACTTTTCCCAACTTCGGGTTTCTGCTCCACCTTCCTACCCCCTAGAATCAGAAAACACATTTCAGTGGCCCTTTTCCCTTTTTTTCTTGAGAAACTATTCGTCTGTTGCTATCTCAACACATACAGCTTCCCTCTTCTATTTATACGTAAAAGTCGTTTGATTTACTGCTGTACCAAATAAAATATGGACTTGAAATACCGAGTATTGCCAATACAGTCAGATCCTAGCCGTTTCAGCAGATTACAGAGAAATATTAAACGAATATAAAGCAGAAATCAAAACAATATTAGAGGGGCCGGGGATTTAGCTCAGTGGTTCCGCCGCCTGCCTTGCAAGCGGAGGGACCCAAGTTCGATCCTCGGTACCAAAAAAAAAAAAAAAGGGAAAAAAACCCAATATTAGAGACATGGGTGACTGCAGTTCAGCTGTGGTCGTACTCCTAAAAGGTTGCTTATGAAGTGAGGATTCCGGGGATATCCAGAGGTACCCACTGTTTCATGCTGGTATAAATGTTTCAACTTTATCATACTTTTTTTTATTTAAACATCGGAGGTATCCTAATATTTTCGTAACTTACCGTCAGCTTGTTGTATCTTTCCATAGTAATAAATGCATATACTTTTTAAAAACTTATTTTTAAAAGGTGTAATTGCCTTTAGGATTGAATTAATATGGCTGAGTGTTAATGTTTTGAGATACAATTCTCTCCACCTGTTTTCTACTTCCTTCAAGAATTGTGCATATTACAAGAAAGCAGAAACAGCTCTCGGAGACAGATTTACTTGCTTTTGTTTTCCAGAAAGCCTGAGCCCACTGAGGAAAATAATATTTGAGGGAAGAGCTGAATGTTTGGGAGAAGCAGAAAGAAAAATATTCTAGCCCCTAGACAGATTCCTGAGGTCCTTGTGGTGGGGGCGAGGGTTTATGACATGAAAAAGGGAGGGGCTACATCTGTACCTCCAGGGAGCCAGGTTTGGAGGCCATGGGGTTCCTGGCCCTGCGGGAGGCAGGAGATGGCAAAGAACTACAGGAGCCTATGGAAAAACAACCCAGCCTCAGCAGTGGCAGCCAATTTTGTGAACTCTGATTCGTGCACTCTATAAAAAGTAGCATTGGCCTGTAAGGGTGAACAAGAGAATTACCACGAATGCAGCAGTAAATACTTAAAATCCATAAGCCCATAATCATATACAAAGGTGCTTAAGACCCTAAAAAAGTGAGAAGTGGGAAAATCCAGCTGCTTTCAGTCTTTGCCTGTGTATGTCCAATAATGACCTTTTGACAGAATATTGGAAAAAGATAAAAGATGACAAACATTTGCAGTTACTATCAGCTATAGGAAGAGGAAGCAAAAAACATGAATTTGAAGACATTCTGGTGCTCAGGTCAGACTCCCTGCTTCTGTCTCAAGAACAGCCATCTCAAGCACTTCAAGCAGTTTCAGTGTCAGAGAAGTGCCCTGCTGAGGAGCTCAAACACTTTTTTGGGTTTTTGTTGTGGTTTGGTTTGGTTTTGCTTTTGGTGATGTGAGGGACTAAACCCAGGGCATTCCCACAGAGTTAACTCATCAGCCCTGTTTTATATTTTATTCCAAGACACAGTCTCACAAAGTCACTAAGCTGGCCAGGCTGCGCTCAAATTTATGATCCTCCTACCTCAGCCTCCCAGAGTGCTGGGATTCTAGGAATACACCACCACTCCCAGCTTAATTTGGAGTTTAATAGCTACAGACGTTAAATCTCCCATCACGTTGGCCTCAGTAGAATTATAATAAAAAGAACATGTGATTTTGCAGTTAGAAGGCTCCTGTGATTCATTTCTAGGACTTCAAAGAAAGCCCAGCTGCAACTGATGCCATGATTACTGTGGCAGTGAACCAGGGACACTGAGCTAGGGGAGTCCAACAGTTCATAAAAGGTCATTTTGCCTGGGAAAAAAGCCATAGCTTTATGAAGCAATGATGCTCATAAACTCAGAGATTTGGAGTTGCAAGAGATCTTGGAGGCAGTCTTGAAAAACTTTATTTTCAAGGGCCGGGGATTTAGCTCAGTGGTTTCGCCGCCTCCTGTGCAAGCGCAAGGACCCGAGTTTCATCCCCGGTACCAAAAAAAACCCTTTATTTTCAGAAGAGGAAAAGCCTGTCAATGTTGGTTTCCCTTAAACTGAGTTTGAGCCCAAATCTGCATATTAGTGATCATATATATAAACTACATGATTTTAAAACTCTAGAAAATACCCTGAACATAGAATTTATTTTCACACAGTTCTGAAGCTGTATCCTTGAATGCAAGTTGGAAGACTACAAAAATGTTTCAAGTTGGGAACGGGGATTTAGCTCAGTGGTTGCACCGCCTGCCTTGAAAGCACAAGGTCCCGAGTTTGATTCCTGGTACCAAAAAAAAAAAAATGTTTCAAGTATCAGTATACCTCCTACCCAGTTTCCTTTCTTACTGTCTACCATTAAGAATCATCGAATTTCACCTAGTACCGAAAAAAAAAAAAGAATCATTGAATTTCAAATGTCACCAATTTTTTTTGCATTTGCTTTAATGATGGCACTTACCCAATTTTCTAGGACTCTATTTGTAATTGTTATCCAAGCATATTTAATTATTCAGATATTTTGAATTTCAAGACTTTTTCCTATAAATCATAGAAGTGTTATTTTGATACAGTATTATGTGACTTTCTAATCTGTTTTATAAAATAAAAACAGTATTTGTTGCCTAATACACAATATTAGAGATGCAACGAACAAGCTGGGCTTAATGGCACACAGCTGTAATCCTGCTCTCTGGGGGGCCGAGGCAAAAAGATCACAAATTCAAGTTCTGCTTGCACAGTTTAGTGACATAGCAAGACCTTGTCTCAAAAAGTAAAAGGGCTAAGGAGGTAGCTCAGTGTGCAGGCCTTGGGTTTAACACTAAGTACTGCCCCCCCCTAAAAAAAAAAAAAGAATACTGGTCCTGTACTCAAGTTGCTATACTCAATTGAGCTAACATGTAGATATAGTTAAGTGATAATATTACATAAACTGAAGATTAGAGTGGTTGTGTAGCAAACTGGGACAAGTAGCTCAGATCCTATGTAACAGCCCTTCCAATTGTGGGTGACTGATAAGCGGAAGTTGGAGCTGCACCTTGGTGATCATCTGTCCCGAGAACCATTGAGGTGTTTCTTAACAGATACAAATCTGAGAGGCTGCCCCTAGATCCTCATTACTCACATGCTATACCATATTTCAGGTGAGGCTGCCTCTCATATTCAGAATGGTTGGACTTGGGACAGGAAGACAAGTCTGGTGTTGGGCAATGCATTCCTGGTGCTAGCTGCCATCACAGCTGAAAATTAAGAAGTGTTTATCTTTAAAATTTTGAAGAGTCAGAGTAGTAAAAACAGAGTAAACACCTCTGTTGTTTAAATCCTCTACTGAAACACTGCCCTGTTGTTTTTCAAAGGAAAAGTACTACAATAGCACTTTTCTAGTTACAAAGACCCTGTTCTTCCTCAAGCACATGATGATGTGTACATATCATCCTGTATATTCAGAATGGCAAAGGTCAAATATGTGTGTGTGCTAAGAATTTTAAATAGCTCATATGGTTGGTTACATATACAATCAGCCCTCAGAAGGTCCTCTATGTGATGGGTTCCATATTGCAGTTTCAATCAACTGTGGATCAAAAATATTTGGGAAAAATTGCATCTGTACTGAACATGTACAGACTTTTTTTCTTGTCATTATTCCCTAGTAGAATATAACAACTACTTCCTTAACATTTACATTGTATTAGGTATTTTAAGTTATCTGTAAAAATTTTAAAAAGTATATGGAGGATGTACATGGATTATATATAAATACTACCCCATTTTTTCATAAGACACTTGAGCATCTCCAGATTTAGGTATCTGTTTGGGGAAGAGGGGACCCATGGAGAGGTTTCTGTAGAAGATACAAATCAGAGTAGCTGCCTACCTTACAATTAGATCATTAGTCATGCCTGCAAATACCAAGACATGACTGTAGTTCCTTTCAGGATGCCTTTAATGTTCATAATAACCACAATTTACCATTTAAAAAAAAATTTAGGCCAATTTGGTGTGATTTGATTTGTACCCAGCCTCATTTTTTTCAGATGATCTTGGTAATTATGAATAAAAAAAGAGAAAGAATTCAAAAAAGGAAAAGATTGTCATCTCATATATGTAATAACAGATTACAATGGCTAGTATCCATTGAATGCTTACTATGAACTAGGCACTACACTAAATCATTTATTATCTGTTTGTTTGTTTTGAGACAGGGTCTTGCTATGTATTCCTGGATGGCCTTGAACTATGTAGTCCAGTCTGACCTCAAACTTATGTGGAGAGCCTCCTGCCTCAGCCTCCCAAGTGTGTGGAATTATAGGCATATGCTACCACACCTGATTGTTCATGATCTTAATTAATCCTCACAAATGCCCTATAAAATTTACTATTTTTTGAACTTTTAAATGAACTATAAAAAAATAAACACTGATCTCTGTTGTTTTTTTTTCTTTTTGGTACTGGGATTTGAACTCGGGACCTTGAGTCCCGTGAGGCAGGCAGCGGAACCACTGAACTAAATCCCCAGCCCACTGACCTCTATCTCTATCACTGTTTTACAAAGGAAGGAACTAAATATTAGCAA